GTGAGGAAGAGGAAGACGACGAATGCGAGCCCGAAGCTTTGCCGAGTTTTGCCGAAGCGCACGCTGCATTGGCGAAAGTGAAGTTGTTCTTTTATGCGCTTAATATTAGTGAACGTGACGAGGAAAACATTTTGAACGTGGAAAGTACTCTGTTTGGTCTAAAACGTAAAGTTTCGACAAACCAGTTGTCCATTAAAGACTTTTTTGGTAAAAAGAAGTAACTTTGAAAGAGAAACATTGTTTTTTTTAAAATTTTTAATGCTTTCCCGCATCTATCGTTTTCCCGCATCTATCGTTTTTATTTCCCACCCCCGCCGAAAACGATGCATCGAGGTTTCACTGTATATCCATTCAGCAGAGCTGCTAGTTGATCCTTATCCCAGTATGTTGTGTAATGCTTCAGTGTTCTATGCAAGCATCATGATTTCTTAAAAAGGTCCACAAGTAATAAAACTCCTAATCTATATCAGTTTATGACTCATCATCTCACTAATATTACCATTTTACCTTTCTTATTTGTCTTCTCAGCTTGTGCATTTGATGTATGAAATGTACATGAAATCATTGCTAGCAGACGCTGTGGTTTGAAACTTCTCTATCCAGTTCTCTGTTTAGTTGATGGTGTTGCAATCAAGAGCCTTTCTATGTCTCCCAATGTTAAAATGTCATCTGCGTATTTATTGTGTTACTATCACAGAGTCAGTATTGTCTTAAGAATATCTCCATGGTGAATGCACGCTACACAGCCAACCACTGATCTATGTTTATTGAAATGGCATCCCCAGCAGAATCCTGTAGCTCACTTAGTTTTGTCCCTTCCACAAGGCCACCAGAGTACTACTGTGTAAATCAAAATGATGAATGACTGCTGCTCCAGCCTGTACATGTCCATGTAGTGTGGAATTCAGATATGTTGTGACTAGAATTAAAACCTGCCATGACGCACTCAATTGTGGCTGCAGGGTGTGAAGGAGTTGCCTCGTTCCTTCAGTATTATATCAAGCCAATGTGTTAAATTCATTCTGGATTTGTGAAATGTCTTGCAGGTAAGGATGATGGGCTAGGTGTGGAGAACCTGCAGTATGCTGGTATGATTGCTGGTGAAACTTCAAAAGCATACAAGGAGGTGGTGACCATATCTATGGTCACCTGTAGAGCTATTGGTATCGGTTCCTATCTAGTCCGACTTGGACAGAGAGTGATTCAGATAGAAAATTCACATATTATCCTGACAGGGTACAGTGCTCTCAATAAGGTAACATTCAGCTACTGAATGATCCATAACACATAATGTAATGGTTTTGTACATCTTCATTAGTTCAGAGCTGTTACAAATGAAATATACATTTGTAACATTTTCTTTGAACATGCTTATTGTCATACGTACGTTTTTGTAGTATTAACTGAAATAGTAACTCAAAAGAATTTTTCAAAGTTGGTAGGTGATTTAGTTTAAGAATGTACTGTATGAGGGACACTTCTCATCAGATATTAACAGTTTTTACAAGATATGTTAGGTGTGGAAGCCCTATACAATGGCCCCCTAATTCCACTGATGTAACTTACGGACTTGCCTGTGGTGTTGTCTTACAGTTATTATCTCTGTTTTGCTCATAACAACTGAACTTGGTAACATGAAATATTAAATTTGTGAAGTCATTGTATGAACTGAATAAGAAACATCGTAAAAAGTTAGGAACATTTTCTATGTTACCTTGATGTTAGGATGACCAATGCAATGTATACTGAGCATATGAGAAGTTAAAGATGTTGAGTTATTGTTTTTATTTATACTAATATAACTTTTGTAGGACTGTAGTTTCTTTAAAATACATTCTTAAAGTGTTTAGTACTTGTAAAAACCATCTATTTACTTTATAATGACAATGCTTGCATCAATTTAAAAATTTTATATGGATTGGATAACCAAACGGTGTCATGTTCATGTCTTGTGAGTTTTTTAATTAAGATATTATTATTTTGTCATTGTGAGCATCATATCAATTGCAGCTACTTGGACGAGAGGTATATGCTTCCAACAATCAACTAGGTGGCATACAGATCATGTACAATAATGGTATTTCCCATAAAACAGAACCTCGAGATCTAGATGGCATCTATACCATCCTCAAGTGGCTGTCTTATATTCCTAAGGTAAGGAAACAGTGCACATGAAGTATTCATCATTTTACGTATGCTTAGCCATCATAATACGAGGCGCGTCCACAAAGTAAGTTTCCCACTCGTCCCACAGCTAGCAAACCTTATATTGCGCGAAGCGACTGTGCGTACGTGATAGAGCAATGACGTAGCATGGCTCTTGCACTAACGGCACTTCCCGCGTTCTCACAGTAGCATCGTTGCAGCTGTTGAAGATGGAGGTTCTTATTCCAGCTCCCGCCGACTGTGAAGTGCGGTCAGTGATAACGCTAGGCCGCACACGGCTCGACGGACAGCAAGTCTCCTGCAGGAGTTCAGCTGGGAGGTGTTTAATCATTCACCCTACAGCCCGGACCTCGCTCCCAGTGATTTCCATCTTTTCCTACACCTCAAGAAATTCCTGTCCGGTCAGCGTCAGCGTCAGCGTTTTGAGAATGAAAGAGAGGCGGAGATGGTTGTCACACAGTGGTTCCAATCCCAGGCGGCAGACTTCTACGACCCAGGTATTCAAAAGTTGGTCCCACGGTATGACCAATGTCTCAATTCTGGTGGCGAATATGTTGAAAAATAGCTGGACACTTGCTGTATCTGTTGCAATAAATATTTCCATGAAATTGTGTTTTGTTTCTGTAAACGGCCCCAGGGAAACTTACTTTGTGGACGAGCCTCGTATTTGTGTCCTAGTTTCCCATGAACCTGCATTTGTGTAGCTAACTAATGCTCTGTGAAAGAACCTGAGGGCTCAATATCACTATTACCAAAGCCAGTCATTTAGTCTTAAGCCAGTTCACACACTTACAACTTGTTTCTGTAATATCCATTTTATTATTGTTGTTGTTGTTGTTATCCAAAATATTTCGAAGTGACCACTCTCCAAGTATTTGTCAAAAATTCTACATGTATTTCTTGTTTTCTTCATCCAAGCTACATGTTTAACTTGTAACAACTTTCTTGGTCTGAAAATGTTGCCACTACAAGGTGATCTGTGTAAATCAATGAGTTCACCCTTATCTTCCTGTTTCTACTTATTTTGTATCTTAATTGCTATTAGTTACTTAGAATTTTTATACAGGTAATTGAAAATGCACACACTAGCCCTCATAGTGTGATTTCTTCTACAAAGATACTCAGAAAATGTTAAACATCAAATATTGTCTGATGTTTATTTTTTGAGGGATGTCACCATCAAATGGGGCAAGATAATAAAGGAGAAGGTAATGAAAACACATGGACAGAAGTAAAAAAAATGAATGCCTTGTATTTCAAGGCATATCCCAGTGTATTCCATGCTGTATTCTTGTATATGCTGCAACGTGTGTTCCATCAAGTGTCCACAAAAGAACAAATCCAATTAAGTGAGGTTAGATTACTGAAGATTATCATCCAATTCCAATCCACCACACATCTAACCACTCCCCATAGTATTATTGTATGGCGCAGTCATGCCAGAACCATAACCCATGTCATATAGTCAGGGGCAAATCTTCAAGCATCCTTGTCAGGACAGTCTGAAGAAAACCACTTATCATTGAGCATCCGGCCAATATCGCAGAAAAGCACATACAAGGATGTCTGCCATGATACCAGCCCACATATTTATGCTGTTGTGGATGTCGAAGACTCCCTTGCACGTAAAACACGTTTTATCGGACTAAAAAAATATTTTTTGGAGGACATCAGCAGCATGTTTGTGACAGCCATTTATGGAACTGCATCCATAGAGGAGGATCTTCTGGGAGGTGATGGTGATTTTGCAAGTGGTGGGAGGCCATGTAAGACTTCCTGTCTCCTGAACATGCTACTGTAATCGCCTAAACACATTAACATCTGGGTGATGTCCAGGATAACACAGCATATTCCTGTAGTGTAGTTCAGCTTGGCATGTGTGTTACTGTCGATCACAGCTGCACCTTATTATTATGTGTCTAGATGAGCTTTGTGCGTGACTGTGTATGAGTAGCGTTAATAGCATCTTGCTGGATAGATGTGTTGCCCCATTTGACAGTGATGTTTATCTTCAAAATTAAACATCATGATGTTTGTTGTTTAACATTTACGCGTAATTTTTTGCATGGAATTGCGCTACAACAGTTGTACTCCTAGTGGCCATCACTGGAATTGTCACTTTTCCTGTGTGCAACAAAAAATATGCTGAAGTTCTTCCAGTAGTGTAAGCTTCATTTCTGTATGCCATTCCATTTTTGTTATAAAATATTTGGAACAAATCAAATCACTTGTGTTATCCTGTATATTAGGTATGAAATCCATATACAGTTAGCATGGTATCAGAATAAATGCTTAAATTTCACTATATATTTCCATAATAGTGAATTGTATATAGAAGTACCTACATATTAGGTGAATCATTTATATTTTGTAATTGTCTTCCTCCTAGGATAAGCTGTCTCCAGTGCCTTTTATAAACCCAGTTGATCCTGTGGACCGAGAAGTAGGCTATATGCCGACCAAAGCCCCGTATGATCCAAGATGGATGCTAGAAGGGCGACAGAGTCCAAGTATGTGCAGCATTAGTTATAAAATGTATTGCAGCTGCCAGTCCCAGTTGGTTGTCTTCTTCATTTTTGTGTAGGAAGTTACCCTTGACATTCTGTCTTTGTCTAGTTGTGTAACCTGTCCATACACCTTTGTTATTTCTGAAATATTTCCTCTAATGATCTTACTGTGGTCCTTGCCATAATTTTTCCTTCCTTGTTATCTAAGTCATACTTCTCTGTACCCCTTATCTCAGTTCCTGGATGTCTGTTCTTGGTACATGTTTATTTATATGTTTATAACTAGAATTTGAGGTTCTCACAACAGTGAGTACAAAGATGGCTGTCCTCTGGGTTGTAGTACCATTTAGTCTAATAGAAGTTTCCCAAGGTTTCATAGGTGCTGCCTCCATTCATGGAAATAGAAATGACCTCTGGAATGTTGGTAAACTTCTACCAGAGTACATGGCGCTGTAACCCAGAAGATAGCCATGTTTGTTATGAGTTTCTGTTGATATGTAATGGCTATAATAGAAAGTTATTTCTCATCTACATGATATGTATTTTGTAAAAATAACATAATTAAAAAAGTTGATGAATGTTCATAATGGTGTATGCCATTCTGCGTAGGTAAGAGTCTCCAGAGATGTAGGTTCCCAGGCTGTATGAATGTGTTGTTTGGTTATATCTGTGAACAACAGATTTCTGTTTGCAGTAGATGAAAATCAGAATCAATAAAGGATGCAAAATGATACTGACTAATGTGAAAAATATCCGTTCTTCTGTCCACTTGCGTAATAAAATGCCATCAAATACATTGTAAATGAATCCTCTTACTTGTGCGTAGCCCCTGTGTGCTTCTTGTCGAGAGTCTTTATTTTTCTTTGTAATGTTGCAGGTAATTCTGACGAATGGGAAAGTGGGTTTTTTGACCGTGGGTCATGGGAGGAAATTATGTCACCTTGGGCGCAAACTGTGGTGTGTGGACGTGCTCGTTTGGGTGGAATCCCTGTTGGAGTGATAGCTGTTGAGACTCGCACAGTAGAGCTTAATCTGCCAGCTGACCCTGCTAATCTTGATTCAGAAGCAAAGGTAAGCTTGTTGCACTGTTGCTTTATTATACCTGATTGTACAAGCATTGCCCTTAGATCAAGAGATTTGTCTTTTAGAGTTCTTCCGCAGAAGTCAGCTACTTTAGATGGAGAACTAAGTATCTTGTACTGCTTTTTATCATTTTTGTGTAACGTCTGATAAAAGCTGCCAACTTTCAAGATCAAATGGAACTTGGTGAAGTGTCTTGAACAAATTTAATTGCAGTCATTAGTTGGTACAGCACATACAATTCCTCTGTTATAAGATTGTGTGTTAATGTTATTTGCACCTGCAGACTGTATCCCAAGCAGGTCAGGTGTGGTTTCCAGACTCGGCGTACAAAACTGCTCAAGCCATTCTAGACTTGTTAATGTTTATCCTTCTTTTAATTCTATAGCGTCTTTCTTCAGTTGTAGCTACTTTTTCATATAAGGCACATACTGTCAGACATATTTATTGTACAATGTTACATAGTTTTTGATGAAAACATACCCACCTACTGTTTGTGAAATATTTTGTGGAAAATATGAAAGTTATAGACTTTCAAGTAAATTGGCTGGTTGGACTGGCCAAAGCATTTCAAAATTATATTAGGCTTATATTTTAGTGAGCGTTCTGAATAAGAACTTACACCAAAATATTCTTGTAGAGAACATTCTGGTACTTGTTTAAAGATATAAGGAGGGGCATTTGATTAATAAGTGGGTTATTTGTTAAGTAAATGAAGTGCTGTAGTTACTTACTGATTTACTAATATACACTATCGTGACTCAATTTTGGGTTTAAATCAAATGTAATTTGTATTGATGTAAGCCTTCTTACTGAGCATGGAAGATATGTTCACTAGCTGTAGCAGAACCAAAAACATTACTTGGGTAACATTACTAGCTAGGAAATGAGAAAAGTTATAAGAAGCAGACTTATATATTTCAATTGAATACACGAGTAGAGAAATAAGACATAATTAAATTACCCACATTGAAAAAAAGGGATATATAAAACAAGTATTGCAGTATACAGTGAAAGGAAAACAGTATTTGGAAGACTCCAAAAAAATGGGTGAATCGCCTATTAATTCAGAAGCCAAAGTGGCTCAAAAGATGTGATGATATAATGATTAGATTTTTAGTCTTAAATACTGGAACATAATTACCCAGTGTAATTCTTTATGTATGGTAAATTTTTGTTTCATAATGTTATGACGTACTTGAATTTGTACATAATAACAGTAAACAATTATTCTTGTAGATATGTACGAACAAATAATGAAGTTTGGAGCATACATTGTTGATGGGTTGCGAGAGTACAACCAGCCAATCTTGATATACATTCCACCAAATGGGGAGTTACGTGGAGGCGCTTGGGCTGTAGTGGACACAACCATCAACCCACGGCATATGGAGATGTATGCAGATCCTGAGAGCAGGTATTACTATACATAATTATTCTCCAATCTGATTCAGTGTTAAGTACCCCCTGCAGTTAATGTACAGTTATTAGTAACCTGTGGGCCACTACCCTAGTCTAGAGTTAAGACCAACATTCTATCACTCACAACCGTTTTCTTTCATTATGTTTATTTTTGGGTGACATGTTTCGGTCCATTTTGGACCATCCTCAGGCCATACAAATGTGTCTAGAGCAAAATTATTCTTATAATTACTGAATATAATATATTATCTTTATTGCTGTGTTAAATTACATAAAATACATTAAATGTTAAAATATTAGGTATTACAAATATTAAAGGCTGTGTTAAAAACAATTTAAAAATAAGTAGGATTTGAGGTTCTTACGGTGGTGAGTCTGAAGATGACCTGCTGTCTTCTGGGTTGTTGCACTGTGTAGTCTGGTAGAAGTTTACTGACCTTTCAAAGGTCCCTCCTAGCTCCATCATCAGGATGATCATTGCCTTGATACCAGACTACATGGTGCAACAACCCAGAAGACAGCCATCTTCAGTTTGAAAGTACTTTTGGTAATCGTTTTGACATTCTAACTTTTAACCAACGTAGCTAAATTAAAACCTTCTTCTTCTTCTTCTGGACATTGGGGAGGAGATCCTTAGTGCAATGACATAAAAGCAGGGAATTGAACCTGGCAATGGATGGACGATAGTGAAGAATGAATTGGAAAGGATGTGAAAGGAAGTAGTCATGGCCTAATTTAGTGTACTATCCTGGCATTTGCCTTGAGAGACAGGAAAACCATGAAAAAGCCCAGTTAGGATAGCTGGTCTCTGGGCCAAAATTTGAACCTGAGACCTCCTGAATACAAAGCAAGAGTCATATGTTATTCAAATGAACAGACAATGAGCGTAGTGTGTGAAAAGTGGACTTACATTATATATATCTTAATCTTATATTAAATATTACATATTTCATGGAATGAGAGAGATGTGACATACTTGTGTGGATTGTAATTACTATTTTTAGTTTTTCTTCTATATTAATACAAGTTTTCTTATCTCAGGCCTTTTTTGTAAATAAAGCAGTTCCTAAAGTACAACACATTGTACATTGTTAAGGTTGTGAGGGACAGAATTTTGATTTTATTGTGGAAACACCACAACAGGATGCATACAAATATTACCCTAATCCAGATTCTTCATGTTACATAGGACCTTTATCCTTCCTACACATCCTGACTCTTACAGTCCAGAAAGAGCATTTTTCAGCTGACTTCTCACTCACTTTGTACAGTACATCTCTTACCTTGATAATCTTTATATTCCCACAACACTAAAGTAAATAACTCAGTCAGATGAATTATGTTACATTGAAGTACTTTTTGACACCCATTTTAGAATGTAAATATATATGACATCCTAAAGAGATTTTCATTAGATTTAAGCTTCAAAAGTGACTTTAAAATCTAATAATTGTGTGCAAAGAATGAATGAAAGTTTTGTATAACATTATTTTTTATTGATATCCATAACATATTCAGAAAATTAGTATCAGAATTTTTCAGACATCTTCTTTGACCTCACTTTCTGTTTGTAATGTTATGAGATTGACAATGAGAAGCTTGAACATTTTTTTTACATGTTTCATGTTAACAGTAACAATATCTGTTGTTAGGGGAGGAGTATTGGAGCCTGAAGGTATTGTTGAAATAAAGTTCCGAGCTAAGGACTTGGTGAAGACAATGCACCGAATTGACCCTGTGATTATCTCAAAAAAGGCAGAGTTGCTGTCAGTGAATTTGTCACCAGAGCAGCGTATACTGCTAGAACGGCAGATCAGTGACCGAGAGAAGTTCCTCATGCCAATGTACCATCAGGTGGCTGTGCACTTTGCAGATCTTCACGACACTCCCGAGAGGATGCAGGAGAAAGGAGCCATTATGGTACACAGACCAAATTTGACATTTCTCTTTCTTCATAGTGCGTATGTAACATTTCCACTCTTATCTTTTTTCCTCATTCTCATAGGTTTTACATTCTTATCCTCTATTATTGCCACTCATCGAGTTCCTTTCCTTGAAATTCCTTTTTATGAGTTCTTTGTAATATGTGCATGAAATGAATGCATATCAGTCTGGTCATGTCTGTTCACCTGAATGATTCAATACAACAGCTGCTGGATGGATCTGAATGACATTTGGTATGGATGTTATGCCATTTGGGGAGTACCCTAAAATTTTACTTTTCAATTTCCTACAACCAGTAAAACCTGGCAGACGAACAAATCTGTGATGTGGAATCGACACTAACACCACTTGCAGTAGGGCCATACAGTGATGTATGGTTGTAGAATTGGGGAAAATACAAATCTTTGATATTGTAATGTAAAATAACAGCATGGTGGCTCCATGAAAGAAAGAAAAATTGATTTAACCAGGACTTGATTTAAATTGCTTAATTAAGTTAACATGATTTTTGTAGTTTGTAACTGAAGTTGTCTAAATAAGATAAACGACATAATGTTTTATTAAAAATGCAGAATTTGTGAAGGATGCATATGTCCATTCCAGTACAGATTACTTCCTTCTTACCATTACTCATTTCTTGCATGGGTGTTACATGCCCCACTCATTTCATCCTCCTTGATTTGATCATCCTAATTATATTTGCTAAAGAATTCAAATTGCAAAATTCTTGATTGTAAGTCATTTTTTCAAAACAATTTATAACACTCATGATTTTCTGCATGTAAACAGCTTCATTATTATCCTGAGTTATCACAGTGTCTGCTTAGATTATTTGTGCTGTATGATAGACCAAAATTTTTAAATTCCACCCACTGTCAACAGAACCGTCTGAACCTGATTCTGTAATTTTTATTATGATAGAAAGTATTACTTCTAGACTGATCAACAGAAATATCTTCCACTTTAACAGAGCTGTCGCAGTTGCTTTCATTTTCCACAATCACAGAATAATGTGTGTCGTATCTGTAATCACTACTGCTTGCAAAAAATGCCAAATAAAGGTATAAGTATATAAATAAAGACCACGTACGAAATAAATCCACCAGAGGTAGTACTTTTCAGCGAACAGTGAACACCGATTTCATCTGATGAGATGAAGTTCCGATTTTTTCAACAAGATGTGACGGTGAAGTCGTGTTTGTGCAGGATGTGGTTCCTTGGCGCAAATCACGCCGTATCCTGTTCTGGAGGTTAAGGAGGTTACTTCTGGAGAACCAAATAAAGAGCCAGATGCTGAATATCCAGCCTAACCTGAGCGTAGGTCAAGCTGAAGCCATGCTGAGGAGGTGGTTTGTAGAAGACAAGGGCACCACAGTGGTAAAACTTTTCTCATACTCATAAATGCATCATTATATCTGTAGTTCATTTCCACTGACTTTGTATCATTCTTGTAGATTTCCCCATCCAACTAACAGAATTATTTATTATCTCAGTGAGACCACAGATTTAGTTGAATTATACAAGGCCTGCACAAACACATGCACGCTCGCATGCACACCTTTTAACAAAGTATGTGAGAACTTTGTATATTCATAGGATCATTCCTTGTCAAGTCAACAAATGGATGTTGCATCACTGTCACAGAATTTAATTCCACTTGTCAGCCTTTCTGTGACTTTTCATGAAGTCACGTACTAGCACAGAGCTTTGCTGATATAAACATTTCACATATATAAATTTTCATGAAGTGTACACAAAAGAAAAATGTCACACATGCTTTTTCTCACAAAGCTAATGCTGAAACCTTTGATTAGATTCACTGTATTTTTTCTTCAAATTGTAGGCCTATAAGAGTACTACTAGAGCATATTTGCCTATTGCTCTTGGGACCCAATTCAATGGTGTATTTCAGGTCAAAATTTACCATAAAATTTCATTGTTTTTTGTAAGCCAAACAAAATTTGAGATGAAGAAATGTTGTACTTTCACAAGATTTGCATTGGCATTAAATATCAGAACTAATAAGTTGTTGTATGTAAAAACACGATTTATGCATTGGGAAAGTTTGTTTACTCCAATTTTGATTATGCCTTCCCACCCTTGTTTTCTTCAATTTTTTCTAAATAGACCTGCATCCCTCTCCATGACACCCTCCAGTTGTCTTATCAGAGTTATTTTAATTTATGAACAGGCATACTTGTGGGAGAACAATGAGGCAGTTGTGTCATGGCTGCTCACTCAGCTTTCAGAAGAACGACGAGATCGCTCTGTGGTGGCCAATAACCTCCATTGTGTCAAAAAAGATGCCATAATCCAGCAGATCAAATCTAGTCTCGAGGTATGTTGCAGTTGCTACATTTGATACATCATTTCCTTATCAATCCAAACTCCTGCATAAACAGCAGGTGGGGAAGAAATTTAAATTAATGAGCATAAGAATGTGTCTCTTCAAATTAGGTTTTAAATAATATCTTTATGTGCATATTTAAATATGTGTAAGGAACTGCTGTTACTTTTTGTGCATAAAAACCTGTAAATATGCAGATAGGAAGGAATACCAATATTTTAATAATAATAATAATGGCAGTTTATAGATACATTTAATACAGAAATTACTACAAACCTACAAAATGTATTAAATTTGACATTAGTCTCTATGTCTTTCTCAACACTTATCCAGTGATGTGTGAGCTTTTTAATGCAAATATGTTTCAGGTTGCTGTAATAGACATATATACATTGCTTCTGTATATTCATTGATGTAAAACTCATTTATTTTTCCATATAAGCCTCTCTAATATCTTTGATTTTACTGTTTGTTTCAAACTTATTTTTTATTTTGTGCTACGAGGAGTTTGACACAGTAACGTAGAGTTTAATAAACCAAAACGTAACCTATCCTTGGTTATATTGCAGGAATGTCCAGATGTGGCACTGGATGCTGTTGTTGAAATTGTTCAGCACCTGGCGCCCCACCAACGTACAGAAGCTCTAAGGACATTGGCCCAACTAGAATCAATCTCTAAAGAGCAAGAACAGCAGCAACAAAATACAGCAAGTGAATGATGATGTAGATGCTGTTTGCTGCATTCTTAGTGTTGAACCCTCACTAACAAGCATGTCATCCCCACTATGACACCCCCTTCCTTCAGTGCCTGCTTTCCTGACATCTCATTGGTCCGCAAGAATTTTAAATATTCATAGTAGTACATGCTCTCAAATGGTAATATTTTTTTGTGAAATACGGTACCGAGTTATTAGGTAAACAAATATGCCTTTAATTTACAGTGGCCATATTAATTAAACATTTCCTTCAGAAAACTATTGTATCTCTCTCGTGCAATCCACAGTATTGAGCTGTAAAACATGGTGCAACTTATATAGGAAAATATGCTTTGCATGGTGACGTGTTGTTTTGTTGTGCAATTTTTATTTTGTATTTTGACAAACACTAGATATTTTAAATTAATGTCCCACCATTTTAATACTAAACCAATGAAGCCAGTTTAATATGTAGTCACTCTTATAATTACCATTTTTATCTAAATTAACATAGCCTTGAATCTAAGGTGGTATAAAATTAGAAGCTTGATTAGAAAGAAGGAAATTAACAGTTTGAACAAAAATTATATTACTGCGCACATGCTGGAATCACACAGCAACTCAGCTGTTGTTAAGCCTATGTTGTTCACTATCATCACTTGAAAATGTTCATCATTTGCTTTTATAATTGATACAGAAATTTTCTGCGTTACTTTGTGTTTATATTCACCTGCTTCCCTCTGCTTCAAGTATCTCCTCAGGACCAAATACATTCCATATAACATCACACATATTACTGCATGAACCCAGATAGATACCTATGGCTCAGTTAGAACCATCAGCTAGACCTTGCAGTGTTGCACAAGATTACCGTACTGACAACGCTACATAAAAGAAAATTTTGACCCTTGTGTTTTTTCAGTACACGAGTTTAAGCTGGTCCTTGGTTTTCATTTGTGAGAGGGAAAAGAACTTCTTTTGACCCTTGTGTTTTTTCAGTACACAAGTTTAAGCTGGAGGGAAAAGAACTTTATCTTCAATTTGTATAAAATGGCACAACTTTGGAATTTAGAAGAAAATTTCTTGGTTTCAGCCACAAATTGGAATTGAGCACTTGCAACAGCAGTCACCAAAGTTTCTGAATGAAAGTGCAGTATTTCCAGATGGAAGCACATTCTTTCCCTGTCACCCGAGTTGCAATCAGTTTTTTAAAGATGGCTTGTGAACAGAATCAGGACTGTGCATTGATTTACTGAATAACTTATTTACCTTTTCACTGTGATATTTTGTGTGCAGTGTTCATTGGTCTCGTCTCTAAGCCTTTAAAGCTGGCCTCTGTGCACTGTACACACCCTTGCATCAGTTCATTCGAACTGCTTTCCTGAGAAGAGTTTCACAGATATCTCAATCCTGTTGCTTTATACATAAAGATAAAACTCTGGGCTTTCATTTCACATATAATTATGTTATATATATAATCTGTCTGTCTCTCTAATTTTTAATCCCTTCTGATGCTTCTGAAATATATATACACCTTGTTTACAGATGCTAACTACCCTGTCTACTGCACAATTCAAGAGTGCTTATTTAGTCTTCTGTCATGAAATAACTCTTCAGATTGAACATTCTGAAGTGTTATATCTTTATCGACGTCTCTGGTACTGTTTGTACATATGGGTGTCAGCTGTTGTCAAATATTCAGACATGTTATTCAGTTCAAAACAGTGCCATTTTTCTTCTAATCGAATGCTGTGTGGGGCTGAGTTTCTTGCGGTTAATATTAGACCCACACGGGAAGTCTTTGTCACATGTTGAAAGAAGAAATTCTGAGATGTTGAATGCAACATATGTTCTTGATTTTTAAGAAGTGTTCCCTTACATCCCTTGTGTGCGACTCCTGTTGAAACATCGCAGATTATGAAGTACGTAAAGCACTGTTTCAGTTTGCATCATTCATGGATTCAGGCACTTGTAAACGTTTGCATGGCGATCAAATTTACAATAATCTGGAAGAATACAAAAGCAAATGAAGCTGAATTTGACAGCAGTGACAGTGATGACACAGGATTGGGTGAAGTCACTACAGATGAAACTGACATCAAAGGAGAAAATGAAAGCAATGAAGATTTTCTGTGAGAAGATATGAACAATTATGTCGGACAAGGAGAAGCCTTTTGCAGTGTTTCCGGACCACAAAGCAGTGCGAAGGATGTGAGTGGTATTGTGGTGTGCTTTGAATTATTTTTTATTAGGGACTTGGTTCAACATATCATTCAAGAAATGAACAGGTGTGCACAGCATTATAAAAGTTTGAGGGGTAATCTTTCTCATTTTGATCTGCAAACACCAGGTTTCAGTTATGTTATTACCTGAGAGATTTGAACTTACCTGCAGATTTATACATTTCAGAGACACTGACAGTAAATCAGTCTACACAGGTCCTTCTGAATTATTCAGGATTTCCCCATTCTGTCTCACCTAAACTAATAATTTCAAAATCTGTATCTCGCTGAACAAAACATAGCCATTGATGGTCTGTTTATCCTTCAGGTAGTATTTACCACTCGTCATAAAAATCAGAATTTGAAGTAAAGAATTACAAGCTCTGTGAATCTACTTCCGGTTTATGTGATGCTTTCTTGTATACACAAGCAAAGATACAGACATTCAGTCTGCATGTATTATATACCCAACACTCCAAAAACTAAGAGTCATAATTATGAAAGTAATTCAGCCTCATCTTGGTAAAGGTTACACAGTCTGGATGGATAATTACTAAAATAGCCAAGGACTTCCACACTTTCTGAAAGGACAATACAGACTGCACAGGGGCCCTCAGACTCAATAGGAAGGAAGTGAAAACCAATAAACTCAAGAAGGGCGAGACTATGCCAGCATTCAGGACCAATAAGAGTCTTGAAAATGTCTGACATCAAAACTGTCAGAATGATTTCCACCTATGACAGTGATAATAAGAGGACAGTCACTTTTATAGGAAAGGAAGTACAGAAGCCTGTGATTGTGATAGAATAATAAAAACATTGCTACATTGTACTTGATTAAGAAGAAAAGAATACATAAATAGTACCACAAACTGCACAAAAACTTTTGAATGCCCTCATAGCGTATAGAAGAGATTGTGATGAACCTGTGGAACTCTTCTCCTTTAGTCTTCTTAGAGGAATGTCTGTTTTTCAAAATATGGGGCACCCTGGGAGGCATGCATCAGACAACATGATACCATGACTTGCAGAATGTAATTTTTCTGATAAAAGTGTAACTAACAGGAGAAAAAAACAAGACCACAGAGAAGATGTGTTGTGTGTACCAAGCATGGTAGAAAGGAGACTGTGTACTGTTATAGAGAGTGCAATGTAAGTCGGTGTTTGGAGGACTACTTTTAAGTTTATCACACAAAATTTAGTTACTAAGGTAACAAACAACCCTACATATTTTTAGACACATAAATTCTGCATGCTTTTACGTGTGGACTCTAAAAACTAAAAAAAAAATCATTGTATCAAAAGCTATTAACATTTTAAAGAGCGAGTGCATTTTTGGGCATGTGAAATTTGAATCTCCTCCGTCCTGAGCAGTAGTCTTTAGTTCAATGCCCAGCATCACTAAAGGGTTAATATAGTACGGTGTTTGTCTGCACGATATGGATGGGAGTGGATGTGTTGTCTGTCAGTTTGTACAAGTTCCACAAGAATACATGCTGATTGCAGACAGGATCCATTGTGTTGCCATGATGCTGTAGCAACACTGGAACCACATAGCATGTTAGGTTGCTCTTCCTCATGTTGTAATTATGGAATATAGTTTTAACGGTCTCTTGCATTTAAATGATCTGTAACTGACTTATTTTATTTATGACAATTCATAAGGCTATGGGAAGCTCTTATGTTGATGTACATTACATATAGGATAAATCACAGTGACATTTCAAAAGATTTATTGAATTAAATTTGTAAATAATTTGAAAATATATTTGAAGAGGTTTTTGACATACTGTATAATTTCATATCTGCCCTTATCCTACATATGCACATATAAATATTTCCAGAAATTGTATATTCATATATTGTTTCCAGTTTCATTGATTTATTGTAATGTTAATTTTTCATATCACATAATCCCTGTCATTCTTGTCATTATTGATACTGATGAAGAATAATTTATTTTTTCTGCCTGCCGACTAATCAAAATCAAATTAAAGAATACCTGTGACAACTATAAAATATTTGTATGAATTCATTAATTTATGGTTTATTTAATACTTTCAATAGCACAAATTATATGGCAATGAATAATGGGATGTTTGATAGGATTTTTAAACTGCTATCCTGGCATTTTGCCTGGAGAGAGTAAGGAAAATAATGGAAAACCTTAGATGGGACAGCCAGTGTAGGCCAAGATTGAAACAGGGATGTCCCAGATGTTTTTATGAATCTAGAAACCAGTTGGTTCATCATACATGACAATACACCAGCTCTTTAATCTCTTTTGGAACAGCAGTATTTGTTAATTACTATGACGAGCACATAGTCTGTGCTACTTAATGAGCAGGTTCTGCAGCTCTTGCACAGGCATATCTGCCACAACAGGCACCTCTCCTTCACTGTTCCACACCTTGAACTGGCTCGACACACATTCAGACGCTGCGAACAAGAATAACTTGAATCAGCAATTTGTGTCTACAACATATTTATTTGTAACCACTGTTGCTTACACTAACTCCACAGCACAGTCAACTTCCTTCACAGGGTGATATTAGGTCTGTCAAGAAATTTGATGGTCATTGTGCAACATTCGAAGTTGCATCATCATGGTCACAGAAGTCTACCGCTGGACCTTATCTGAGCCATCTCAGTCAAGTTTAATTCTTCATAACCTGCTTCATTATAATTTATTTTATTATTATCCTATATTTATTTATGAAGTATTCAATATCATACGTGGGCAAAATATTGGGTATGTAAGATTTGAGGTTTTCACAGCGGTGAGTATGAAGATTTCTGTCTTCTGGGTTGTTGCGCTGTATATTTATCGTCCTGATGACGGAGGCAGTATGACCTCTGAAACGTTGGTTAACATCGACCAAACTACACAGTGCAACAACCCAGAAGACAGAAATCTTCAATATATTGGGTAATTTTTCTGGGATTCTGGAACTAATCACTAGTTTTATATAGAAATTAATGGGAATTTAATTTTCACTTTACAGTTTTCGTTGATGGAATTATGTTCATAAATCAAGGTGTGGGTATACTTGAAATTTGTTGACTCATGTTCATAAGTGAGAGAAATCAGAACTGTATGTCTGGCCTCTTTGCATCTGCCACAAGGGACCCTGGAGAGCCTTGATAATGACACCAATTTAAAAATGTTTGCTAAACATGCTCCAATTTAAATGACTTGTAGATATGAATTTGATACTTCTCTGAATCGCCATGTAAGCTTTTGTAATTAAACATAAGAATGATGGAGAAATTAAAATATTTTAGTATAAATGTTACTATAACATAAAACCAAAATACGTACTCACTGAACAGCGAACTTTGGGTGCTGTTGAAACAACAATAGATTGTGGGTCCACTCTTGTACCACTATATGTGTAGTCTGCTATCTTGAATAGCACCTGAAACAGGGAAACATTAAATTATATATGCACCATTAAAGGAGAATAGGTTGCTTACCAAGTAACCTAGAACATGTAGCTGGAGGTAAAGAACGTAATATTAAATTAAATTGGATATTGAGGAAGCGTGGTGTGGTAATGTTCACTACTCCTTCACACTGCTAAACATCCAGAGCTCTCACATAATAACCCCCCCCCTCCCCCAAAAAACCAGTCCTGGAAACTTCTGGTCATTCATATATATCGTCATGAATGAAAGTGTTCTTTTGTTGGTTACCAGTGCACAAGAGTTTATGTACTGTTCCCATCCATTCACGTCTCCTCCATCAATTTGCTGCTCAGACGAACACTCGGTCTTCCTTCGAAGTTTGCAGACAGCATTCAGTGTGGCACCTAGTGACTTGGTAGGAAATTTGCTGCCTATGTTCCATACCAGGGTACTCCCAGACTGTACAGAGACAGACCCAACTGATGGACTCGGCCTCACGATGGACACCTGTAGTCCAGGGAAGGGGAACTGAACCTCAAGCTGTTGGAAATTGTTCTTTATGCCAGCCCGAAGTTGCAGCTGCATACACAATGTTGCCAGACTGTTGTTCAGCTGCAAGTATAATGGAAATGGGTCCATGCAGTGGTAAGCATTTTATGCTTGTTGCAAATAGTAATGTAAGTTGTAGGTTTTAATGATACTGGGAACGACCCATTCTTCAAGTGCCTGAGCAATGCGGGTCCCAACTTTTCGTTGGCTTGATCTATAGACATTCGGTAGGACTCCTTGGACGAGGGATCGCCCCGTTGCAAGGCCTCTACCTGTACACAGTACAGCACAACGCGGACAAACATCCATGGCTCGAGTGGGATTCGAACCCATGGTCCCAGCGACCAAGTGGCACAAGGCCCATGCCTCAGACCGTGCGGCCACTGCGGACCCCATAAGGGAATTAGAGAGAAAAATAAATGATTGGCTACGAAAGGGGTGCTATGTCACAATTCTAGATGGGAAATAGAAAAGGAAGGATGAATGATAATATCCTTATATTAAGGACCATAAAAGGTTATAAAATGTACATATATTTTAAGATTGAGGTATGCCTGAAAATTCTGAACATATGGTTATGCCATAATTTCAAATGAAGACTTAATTTTTCTCCTCTATGAATAATGGACTTAAAGAACTCACCCTTAATCTGTATGCCCCATAGATTGGTGCCTCAGTTAGATGAGGCAAAGTGTAGTGGCAAAGTGGCTGGTTATTGCATGGTCGGAACCTCAATCGTGATGTGGTGGTTGTGTACTCAACACTGGACACAGCAGGATTTACTGTCAGTCCTCCATTACCGCCAGGCTGAACAAGTGTGGTGCAAATCTCTGGGACTGTGCCCTCAACCTCTGATTTGCAAATTACAGACCCATACACATCTATTGCATCTCTCACTTCACTGTGATTGAACTGAAATTATAATTCAATTCTATAGGGTTTTGACGACGGTAGTTTACACTTAAAATTATTCATTGTCAGGACTTTAAATACTGAGACACGAATCTTTTACTTCCTCTGTATAGGTAAGTTAACATGAACCTATTCTGAAGTAAATCTTTCCATTCCCTCCTTGGTCTTCATTTCTCTGTCCTTCCTGTTTGTTTAAACTGTAAAATATTCTTAAGGAGTCATTCATTGTTTGTCCTTGTTATGTATTCAAACCAAATCGGTTTTTATGTTTCTATTTGTTTAATTACTATATAAATATTTGACAGCTGTAATTTTTCAGCATTGGTGGACTAGTGCTTAGCGTGCTCACCACTGGACCCAAGGTTCATGGGTTCAAACCCAGCTGAGGTCGATGGATTTTTAAGGGTGATAAAAATCCATAGCACAACTTCCTTTGGAGGGTAAGTAAAGCTGGCCGTCCCATGTCGTAGATTTACGACATGTAAAAGAACCTTAAGAGCATGAACGAGACGTTTCATAAGCAAAATTCAGCGGCCATTTCTTACCCAAGTCTCTCCTGATTCACTACTAGATGACTCTAGTAGACAAATCAGGATTGAGTAGAAATTGTGCAGAGGCAGTGGGCTTGTCACTCACTACTCATAAATGCACGCTTTAAAGACAAAGAAACCTCCCACATGGGAGGATGTCATGCTTGACTTCGGGCTGTTGCGCCATAGAAAGTAAAGAATTTTTCAGCATTCCTGATCTGTTTTAAACATCTATGGCCAGCAAATGAAAACAAACATTCTTTATTCTTCAGTCATATTTATTCCCTTCCTACCAAAAATGGTGGTGGATATAATTACTAAATAAAAATAATAAGTAATTTATTTCTCACTTTATGTAAATATGTATGAATTTATGAATAATTCATAACGTTTCCATAGACATTTTCATGGTGTACTGTCATTTTTCTTACTACTTTTCTGTTGTATTCATGGCTTAGTGTGCTTTACATAAATGTGCAAAAATATACACTTTATCACAATTCAGGCTAAGAAAGTTCTGTCTCATTAAATTTTACTCTTATGAAGAAAAATGTTAAATTCTTACTTAGGCCTTCTGAAATATGGCAGGCCCAACTGAAAGGACATGAAATTATTACTTTGGGTTTCTATTTTATTTGAGGTCAGCTTATATTAAAGTAAATACAGTTAAGTAGTTCATTAGGCCATTAGTTTCTCTCATAGTGTGGATCTGATCTCTGGACCACCATCTCAGTATTCAGTATACTCACAATTTTAATAAATGCAACAAGTCTTGTATTGTTTATTAAAAATGATGGCAATTAAAACATTTATACTTTGAGGATAAACATACATGTTTCAGACAGTTCTTATGAAATAGAAGTAAATAATAAAAGTTTTTACCTGCATGCATCGTACTTCTTCCTTGACATGGATAACAACTTGTGACTTGCCTTTGTGCAGCACTGGATTCCATAATGGTTGCTGAAATTGTAAGCACACTACTGTCTTACTAACCCTTTATAGGATAGCAATGACAGTCTGCATCACCTCCTTAACTAAATAAATCAGTAGTTTGCTCATATGAATGTAAACTGGTTCCCAGGGCAAACGTCGTCAGCTTCGACAACCACTTTCATCTGAATCACCTAAGTAACAGGAATTATGTGATGTGTGATAGGAACTGAATTATTCAAAGTATTTAGGGAGCTTCATGATAAGGTTTTGGGACTTCTGTGGAAACCAACCCATTTTGTCACTCACGGTGCATTATAATTTTGCTGGCTTGTTTATGGCTGTTGTTAACTACATTTTAAATCTGGAACTGACCAACCTGTGACATGCACTAGGCACTGGCCTAATATATCATTAAATACATAACACAAATTACAGAAACAGATGCTTCTTCAAATGACTGTTTTATACTATAACGGATCTGTAGACTGAGAATGTGTGCTTACACGCACACATACCCACAGTGACATCAGTATGCTGTGTGCACTGGCTCCTGGGAGCTTAAATGGGATTCTAAATTATAGCAGAAAACAAAAGACTCTAGAAAATTATTATGGAATTATAAAATGCCAGCTACTTGACCACAAAGCACAGTCATTAGAAGAGACAAGTGCTACGTATGTGAATGAAGAAGTGGAAAAGAGAATAAATGTGATTTAGAGACCAACAAACTGAAAGAAATAAAGAATAACAACTTTATTTATTTGTAGTGTTCTGTCTGACGACAGGTCCATATATTATGAACAGGATCCTTCCAACCTCTTCAGGTTGTCAGGGACCTGCTCATACATATATACATTCTTGGCAGAGATGATCAGAAGTGGTTTGCCATTGCCTTCTTCTGTGTGTGAGTTGGGATGCCACGGAGAAACCGGGGAAGCCCCCGGAGGAAAACTCCGTGATGCCTAGACCACGGCCTTGCCCAACACAAGTTATAAATTTGAGCACCACCGGGAATTGAATCCGGGACCCCAGGCTTACAAGGCTAGTGTTCTGACCGCTAGACCACCGTGGCTGTTACTAGAGAACAGTTATTTCAAGTGTTTTTAAGTTTGTTCAAGTATACTAAAGAAGAAATCACTATCAATTGTAACAGTGTGGGAAATAAATCCATATTTTGTTGTGAAGAACCTATGTGTAATTACTGTTTTGTGCTATAACACTCCAGGTATGGACCATAAAAAAGACTAACAACAGAAAAATAGTATAATTTGAAATTATCTTCCTGAGAGATACAGCAGGATGCATCCTTTTCACTTATTAAATAAATTACAAATTAAACCAATAGCAGACATAAACCACTACAGAGGAAACTGGAGAGAAGACGCTGAAGGAATGAGGCACCCAAAAATTATAAAATACAAACATATAAAGATGGCAAGATTTTATTTTGTGATACTAGGCCTTATACCAGTTGAACAATACATACCTTGGCCTTTGCTTTGCCCAAGGGATTAATCAGCTGTGACATGAGGGCTGGATTTGAGCACATGACACTTCCAAAAGGCATACATGTGTTCACAAACTGATGGAGCTTCAGTGTCAATGCTGGGGTCTGCAAGAAACATGTTTCTCACCATAGTCTCTTTAGTAACTGGGTCATTGAAAACTTAATATCCAGCTTTCATTGGAAAAGTACATTTTTGGAGCATGCTGAATGATAAATTACAGGATGAATTTTAAAATATTCCATTCTTTCTTTACATATATGATAAATATGAGAATGTTTGTGCAATATATCTTGTATAATTTATTTTACTCTGCAAATCAGGTTTGACACACACATAAGTTTTTTTCCCATCTTCATGACCCAAATGATATTTATTCTGTGGCTTACCAATGAAGTCATACTGGCAGTTAGTGAGACACACTGGATTAGTCCAGTGAGTGCTTCCACTGCCATTGAGATACCAGGCCTGGAAACAAACATAATTTGTATCTCCAAATATTTTGGGAATGTTAATGACCCATAACTTAAATGTAATCCTACAACAAACAGCAGGCCAATCTAAAATAACGGCCATGTATTTGCATAATTAATTCTTTCTTTCTTTATCTTTTCCCCCTCTCTCTCTCCCATAATAAGATTTTCAAAATACTGCACTATATAGTACAAAGTTTTGTCTACCTACAGGTCAGCAACTGAAATATCTGATTTGTCTTGCTGTGTGACCATTTCTTGTGGTATCAGTGGCATAGCACAATACATCAAACCGTGGTTCTCCAACACAACAACAGGCCATAAACTCTTGTTCTCCTTCAAACTGACTTCTAATGTTGGATACAGAGCAGGTTTGTTGCACCTGTCTCTTGATTCAACAAATGTCCCTGGTGAAATAAATATCATCAGTCATCAAACATCTTCATATTTGAGGCTTTTATGGTGGTGAAAATGTGTATCATAATCTGCTCAGTTGTGGTGTGTGTGTAAATTTATTTTGGTTCATGTTGGTCAGGCATAAACCATATTTGTATAAAGCTCAAACTGAACGTCACTTGAAGATTTCTGTCTTCTGGGTTGTTGCGCTGTGTAGTCTGGTCGATGTTAAATAATGCCCTGATGACCTCTGAAACGTTGGTTAACATCAACCAGACTACACAGCGCAACAACCCAGAATACAGAAATCTTCATACTCACCGCTGTGAAAACCTCAAATCTTACATGAACGTCACTTATTTTCTCATAAACAGTTTCATTGTACAGGAAATGAACATAACACAAAATACAGATCTCATCAAGATCTACAACTTTCATTTCAAACATTTTGATGTGAATATTTGATGAAACACAGTGAAATAATTTCTAATATCTTTGCAGTGAGATGTTTGTATCTGTAGTGCAACAGAACTGACTACTGGCATTCATTTCTTTGCTTTTTACTGAATAAAATATATTTAAAAAATAATTTATTTTTATGATTTAAGTAAGTTCTACTGAAAGGAAAACTAAAATTAATGTGGTTCAATACATAGCCTACATGAACATGTGTGCGCGCACACACACACAAGACATGCATTAGCACAGGGAATGAGGCATGTAAAATCACAAATAGTGCGTAAAATTTGAGGTTTTCACAGCAGTGAGTCTGAAGATTGCTGTCTTCTGGGTTGTCGCACAGTGTAGTCTAGTAGATGTCCACCAACGTTTCAGGGCCTGATGACGGAGGCAGCATGACGTCTGAAACATTGGTGGACATCTACTAGACTACATGGTGCAACAACCCAGAAGACAGCAGTCTTCACAAATAGTGCATTTGAAAAAACTATATAAGATTAGTGTTTTTCCAAATTAGAGTACCTACACATGCATATATATGCACACTTTTAAGTTTTGGTGTTTTTGTTTGAGGTGATAAGAGATGTGAATAATTAGTCTAGTTAATTTGATTTTACATCCATTAACTGACATTTCTGCTGATTAAGATTACCCAAAAATGCAGGACAGGAAAAGCAGAGACTTTTGTTTTAAAAATGCAGGACTGCTGGAAGTGAGGATGGTGGAAGCATCATTATTTTAGTATTCTCTTCATTACTAAATGGAGGGAATGACAAACACAGAAACACTTGCATATGTTAGTCTACCATTTGCTTTGTTTACATTTCACTGGCATTCTTCTTTTACTTACACTTGCATTTACACACACACCAACCCTGACAAAATATACCAGACAGTGTTGCTATGGTATGCCTTAACACTTTCACTGTTATGGATAGAATATTTCCACAAGTTAGTAAATCATGTCAACCTTAAACTTGCAACTAATATGCCAAGTATATAGAATGGGTTGCTAATACATAGCCATATATTCTCCTTAACAGTGATGCTTATGGAGACAAAAACAAATGACTATGCATCGCACCACTGCCTATTTTCATTCACTATAGTTATTCTACCTGCATCTATTAGGCCCACTTCTGTGTGCAGAGCCTTCACAAATGATTCATCTGGAGGGATGCCAACATATTCATCTCCAAACATTGATTTGCAGCATGTCTCGACTGTTGAGAATTGTCTGGTATAACAAGAATACAAAATTATGCAGTATTTAAAACAGAAAATACACTACACAATTTGGCTCAGCACTTACATACATTGATTATATTCAAAAGGTGTCACTTATAGCAACAGTGGTTTTTTCTGATTTTCCTCAGTCCTTCAAGGCAAATGCTGGGATATATATATCATGATTACTTTTCCCATTCTTCATAGTTCATTGCATACAATCATCTCATCTCTTTTAAACTAAATAAACTACAGTTTATACAACTGGCATTAAGTAACCTTCAAACCAACACCGGTGCTGCTTTAATGTGCATACATACAAGATGTCCAACTGCTTTAAGTCAGTATTGCAGGATCTTATTTTTCAGGTAATTCCCAGTCAGAAATGCCATATGCCTCATTCTCAACAGTTACAAAACTAAGAATATTTTGAAATCAAGATGATTTGAACATTATGTAGAACATTACAGTCATTCATGTAACTTGAAGGGCACAAGACATGATTGAAGATGTATTGCCAGCATGTGAGGCACCCCACATTTCAGTCGTCTCATTATGGAGTATCTGAATGAGCAGTTCTCTCACTGATGGGCTGGTTATGGTGGGCCGCAAAATTGGCCACTGCTGTCATTGAACATCACGCCACTCAATTTCCATGAAAAATGTGGTGTATGAACACAAAGTAAACTGTAGGGAGGAACTACATAGAATTGTTTATCCTGCAAGATACAAGTATCTTTAATTTCAGTGGACCATGTTCATAGGGCACTTCAGTTTAAGAAGTAATTTTTGTTAATCTACCTGTACATGTACATTTTACACTTCATGGTTTGGTTATTTAGAAAGATGGCACATTACGATCACACCTGTTGTTCTTGCATCACCTTACCTTACATGAGGGTCTCAGTATCATAGCTAGTGATATGAAGAAACAATAACTGTCAGGGTAAAGGGGTACATGTACAAAAGGTCAAGTTATCAAGAAAGAAAAATCTCATAACTTGAGGTTTATTGACTTCATTCAGAAATGTATACACATTAGACAAAAAGTTAGAGATCAGACTTAATGTTAACAATTTAGACATCAAGTTAACAATAAGTGCTAGAATTTTCTAAATTACAGGCAACATGAAATACAAAGTGACAACCATATTTTGGTTGAAATTGTTGGACTTGCACATCTTTACCCTAGCACTGATGAAATGAAACACAATTATATGCTAAATACACAGAAAACCGAAGATGTAGTTGTCATCATGTGTGATCTAGACAAGAACTAGCTGTTCAACAGCTAAGATTTCCTTGCTGAATGCCAAAAATGCAGGCATTAATATGATATGTCAGATTTTAAGATATGGTTATGAGCGGGTGTAGCACAGTTAGTTTCATGACTGGCTATGGACTGGGCGAACGGGGTTCATCCCCAATGGGTGCCCGAGGATTTTTCCGCCAGCCTCCTATCCAATGGGTTTCAAATGTTCTTTCCCGGAGGTAAAGCGCGGCCGGGGCGTGATGTTGACTACTCACCCCCATCTAGTGCCGAGGTCAAGAATGAGTAGGAGCTATTATATCCCCCCCTAATGGCATATAGTCGGGCAGCTTTACTTTTTAAATTACATGGTTATGTTTTGAACATTACTGTACTTGTGATGAATAATAACAGTACAATAAGAATATGGAGACTGTCAAGCTCTAGACGAATAACTCTACAATGTTAGAATAAAAAATCTCCTTTCCACAACTTATTTCATATTTAAAGTTGTTAAGTTCAAAGTAAAATCATTTGTGTGTATTCATTCGGACACGTTTCATTAACTATATAACTTGCCGTGAAAATAATGGTAGAGACACTTCTTTATTTACAGCAATAATCCATACAGCCCTTAATCTCATTGCAACCTACGAAAAAATTACAACGAAAGTAATTTCGATTCTTATCTACTGCACGTTAGACATAAGCAAATACTTCTGACATTCCATTCCTGGTATTCAAGTAATGATATGTGCGCATGCGTAACATCCCTGTTCCAGTGTGCAAAACATTGGTCAATAGTACAAAGGAACTCCGAGAGGTGGACATTGAAGTGCTGCATTCTGGTGGCCAAGATGGGAACTATTGAACAAGGCAGTCTATAAATGCACGTTGGAATAAACGCATGAGGAAACACAGGTTTTCCTTGGTTTTCCTCTGTCTTCAAGCAAATGCTGAGATGGTTCCCAAGTTCCAAGTTGCCACTGCATGCTTCTCATGCAGCCCTCCCGATTTAAATT